AATAAGAAAATCTTAGATAATTATACAAGAGATATTGAAACTAAAATTATATTTAGAAATAGTGTTAAATCTATTCTATTGTATTTGAGTTCTTTAATTTAGGCTTGCCCAAAGAATAAAATACATAAAATGTATAAAAGAATACACCAAGAAAAATCAAAGCTTTTTATGAAATATTATGTTGTCAATATTGTTTACAAAGACAAATTCTTAACTCATGGTTTTTAACATTAATTTGTCTATAAATTCATTCTATGACTTATATGTGGGATCTTCAAAAATTTCACAGAAAAATGGGACCAGCAGTTAGCATAATGGCAATGTCGCTGGGCTCCCATGTAGTTGACCACGGTTTGAGTCCCGGATCTGGTGGCTTAAACTCGCCGGGTGCGTGTGCGTGTGTGCCCAAGATCCTGAGAGGAGAATGAAGGAGAAGGGATTGCGGTGTGGCCATCCCCTCTGGGGGATGATTTCTTGCTTTCATGTCTCTCTGTCTCTCTCTGTCTTTCTGGAGAGCACACACACCCTATAGCAAAAACCTCTCCCCCCCCAAAAAAAAATTCACAGAAAATGCATAATATAAAAAAAACTAAGCATGAGTGTCAAATGTTTTTGTACCAAAATAAACTTGTAATTTAATTCTTTTTTTTTCCTGTATACTCTCGGAAGTCCCCCCCCTCCATATAAGTGAAAATATTATACCTTAATTCACATTTTTCTTTGACCATTAGACAGAAGCCAAGTACCCATGATTCAACATAGAAAATACATCCTATCTTACTATGGACTACTGTTATTATTGTGTCAGCATTTTTTTAATTGAAAATAAATAACTCAGTTCTAACATTAGGATATACATAGTTTAGTTGCAAGGAGATATCTACCACAGGCTGGTTAATTTCTCCTAGAATTAGAAATAAGTCTCCATTTACATGTGTGTGTCACACCAGACATAGACGCTTGAAGAAAAATAGAAATATTCTGACAATTACATATAGAAAACTGAGGCTTCTACTCCATTTCCTAGACTTCTGGAAGCTTCTCTTACATAGTTGTATGCCCTCACTCAGAGAGACAATGTGACCTACGGGCTGAACACAGACGTGGTACTATATGGATAGAGACTCAGCTTTGTCACTTACCAGCTGTGTGGTTCTGATAGTTATTTAGCCTACAGGTACCTCAGTCTGCTTGTGCATAAAATTAAAATAATCATGGAGATTTACAGTGTTATTTTAAGAATTAAGTGACTTAATATTGGTAAATAGCTTACATCTATATTTTACACATACCAATTAAAATATAAAAGTATATCCAATTCTAGGGACACAGCTCATATGAAAATGCTGGTCCCATTGTACTCCTTCCTTGCTCAAGATAGAATGAAGTAGGATGTACTCTTTGGATAAAAACACAGAGTGCATCAGTATGATAGACACACACAGTCTGTCAAGTTTGCAGTCAGAAAAATATGTTTTCCTCCTCAGTGTGGATTTAGACAACACTATCTCTGAAAATTAATGGTTGTCTTTGAGCTGTGTGTGTTTAATCGAATAGTGAGATGGAAAAGCTAGTTGTTTGCCTCCTATCCTCTTAATAGCAACACTCGGTATTTGCAGACCACTTCACTATTGACATTAAATGCATGGGTTTTTCTCATGCCAAGAAACTCTCCAGTTCTCTCTGGACACCAAAGCTGATATTGCGTACCTGGACTTAGCACAGACATTGCGGTTAAGGGTTCAGTCCTACCAGACTGCTAGGTTACCCACAATGAAAGTCTGTCGTGGCTACAAATCTTGAGGTTCCCCAGATTTTCTCCTCAGTTTTGATAATTTGCTAGAGTGGCTCACGGAACCATTTACTTATGGGGTTAGTAGTTCATTTTAATAATATAACTCAAGAACAGTCAGACGGAAGAGACACATAGAGCAAGGAATCAGAGCTCCCATGTCCCTTCTGGGCATGTCATCCTTGGGGCACCTCCATGTGTTCCCCAGCTCTGAAGTTCTCCTACCCTGTCTTTTTGGAGATTTTTATGAAGGCTTTTCCACATATGCATGATTGTTTTAATTACTATTTTTTTAAAAGTTTTACTATAGAGTACTTGCGCTTGCCAGATTGAGAGAGAGGTAAAGTGAGAAATTACCACCTGAGGGGATGACCACAGTACAATCTCTTCTCTTCCATTCTCCTCTTAGGAACTTGGCACACACACATGCACCCAGTGTGTTTTTCAAGTTGGGACTTGAACCATGAAGTTGGCCCTGTGGAATCCAGCCACCTTAATCTCCACCACCTACAGGTCCAGCATGATCAATTATTGACTCATTCTTCAGCTCCTTTCTTTTCTCTTCCCTGGGGGATGGGTGTAGGGCTGAAAGTTCTAAGCTTCTATTCATGGCTTGGCCCACCTGGTGACCAGGCCCTATCTAGGAACCCACCCAGAGTCACCTCATTAGAAGAAAAGATGCTCCTGTCACCCTGTCCTGTTCTAAAGGACTTAGAACTCTGTGTCAGGAACTGGAGTTACAGACCAAGTAGTAGAACAAAAGACCTACCTTGCACCCTTATTGCTCAGGCTATTACAAGGGTTTTTAGTGCTCTTTGCCAGAACTAGGGGGAAGAAATCAAGTATATACATTTTTATTATGACACAAATAGCTACTTACTGGATTAGTCAGAAGGATGAGGAAACATATTTGCATTTCAATCTGGTAGAGAGATTTTGGACAAGACTCAACTTGGTATGCCAAATCACACATTAGATTGCTCTGCTGCCAATTGCATGCCAACCCCCACCCACTGCCACCCCCGTGCTGTTTTGCTAAAATCCCCTATAGAGACATTAGAGGATGAATAACCCAGTCTTGGGGGAATTTTTATCTGCAAAATAATCTAACCATCAGGCCACTTATCAAATGGATGTCTCAGGAATAAATGTGAGACGAGCTTCCTGAATAAATTTGTGTAACTTTCAGAACCTTTAGTACTCAGAGCAAAATAAGCTATTGAGATAGATGAAGTAATTCACTGCCCACAAGTAACTGCCCAATAGTTTTTTTAAGACAGATTTTTGCTATAGGGCACGTGTGCTCTCTAGAGAGACAGATAGAAACTGAGAAATCACCCCCCTGGGCGATGGACATACCGAGATTCCTTCTCCTCCAATATTTTCTCAAGATTTGGGGCACACATGCACGTATCCAGTGTGAGCTTTAAGCTGCTGTGTCCAGGACTCGAACCAGGACTGACTATGTGGGAGTCCTGCGACATTACCATTAGGCCATCTGCTGGGCCCACTGCCCGATAAATGTTAAGGAAAGAAGCACTTTAGAAATTTCTGCCACTACAAACCCGTAAGTTCATATTTACAACTTTTATAACCTCAAACTCTTCTCAATCACCACTGGAAGTCTAATTCTGTTTTCTTCTTTTATTTCTGTATCAATACTTTTAATATTTAAAGTATGGTGCCTTAGGTAGATTTAAATATACTCAGATTTCTATTTTCTAGTCTACCTTGAAATAAACTGACTAGGGCCAGTCCATGGCCTGATGGTTAAGGCAGCTGAATCCCACATGGCTGACCATGCAGTTCAACTCCTAGACCAGGCAGTTTGAGAAACATGCCAGACACATGTGCATGAGTGTTCAAATTCCCTAAAGGAGAGAGAAATGAAGAAGAAAGGATTGAGACCTGACTACGCCTCACGTGGAGAGGGGACTTTCTCTTCTCCCTCTCTCTCTGGTGAGTGCATGTGCCCTCTGACAAAATTAAAAAGAAAGAAAGGAATATACCATTCAATAATATATCCTTCACTTGTTAAAACCTAACTTTTAAAAAATAAGAGACTCACCACCTCTCTCAAATGTAGCGTTACATGTTCAGATTTACACCTGGAGTAGTCTTTCTAATGAGTCAAAAAGGAAGTTTCCATGCTGACCACCTGTATAGGCATTCCTTTCTCATTCCTTCCTTGCCAATGCCCAGCATCCAACGAGTACATAGAAACCGCTAGCACATTTAGTACATTGTTTCTTGAAATTATACTGCCTACAAGTGAGTGACTATGCCATTTTTCTCCTAAATAATTAAAAAGCTGGATAATTTTTTAATAAATTTATCTAGGATTTTCATGGTCAAGTTTATTTTTAGCACCCATGGGAAGTTAATGGATCCTTTCTAAAGAGAACAATCTTTCTTAACGAAGGACTCCCAGAGTGGTCAGCAGGTAGCAAGGTGGCTAAGGTGTTGGACTCCCATAGGGCAGACCACAGTTGGAATCCCAGACCTGGCAACTTGCTTTCTCAATTTCTCTTTTTCTCTCTCTGGTGAGTAGATGTCCCCTATAGCAAGTGAAAAAAAAAATAAAATAAAACCAATAAATAAAATTAAATAAATAATTCCTTTAAAAAATGAAGTATACCAGAATTCATATAGTTAGCAGAATTTAAAGGACTTTGTACATTTTTAAAAAAAATATATCTAGAGAATTGACATTTTTGAAAATGATTCTCTAGTAGTTCCCAGAGATGTTTATAGACTTTTCTGGGTGGTGATGTGGAAGAAGATTTCAGTTACTTGATTATTACTTTTATAACCATTTAACAGACACAAAATCATTTTTTTTTTTTAAAGAAGAAGACATAGAGAAAATGCTGGGTAAACTAAGTCAACCAGCTCCTCTCAAATCCTTTGATGTGCTAACGTTCCTCATGACTCTCTAAAGAGGGTGTAGTCAAAATCAGTTCATATTCTTCTTAGTTCTATGGAACTACTTTTTCAGCACAGCCTCTTAAAGCCCCTGATCCCATCAGACACACTTTGGGCAGGGCTGCTTCCAGAAATTACTAAAGAGTAGGCTAAATGTTCCATCTCCTTTAAAATGACTCCTTCTTCAATGGCCGGTAAGAACTTCATTTGTAAATTTAGTTATCAGTTCTTATTTATAATCATCAGTTTATTATCTAAGTGTGATGGGACAAAAACTAAACTATTTTTGTAATGAGATAATATTTTATTTGAATTTCCACCATTTATGTACAAACACAAGTTAATAAAACACATCACAAAACAGTAAAATTTCTCAGTTAATATTTATAGGTGCATAGTTTCATGCTCACATGTTTTTAAGTATTATATATATTAACAGATTGCACAATACATCATTATTCTTAGACAGAAAGATTTAAAAGACAACTAAAAATCTTAAAATATGCGATCGTAAATCACTCACAACTTCTCAACAACAGCAACAAAAAGAAATTGAGATTAAGAAATAAGTGGTAGTCACTTAGGTGTTTTTAATTTGTCTGAACATTTTAGATTTGAAGCCACAATATCCACAGCACACAAGGACCTGCTACCACATACTCGCTTCAGTGAGAGGGAAGCACCGAGATGCTGGGGGGCAGATACTTCGATCACCGCTGATGGAAGACTTCAAAACACACGGTAGAAACTTTGCGATAATATCATGACGGAGCACATTGGAACTGAGCACTTGTACAGGATGGAACATCTGTCGGCAAATCTCAAGAAACTGGGAGCAAAGATATTTCTTAGGCTTCGGGTTCATAGTCTTGATACCCTTCCTGATATTAGGAAAATCGACAAGACAACATACATTGTTAGTGGAAGTGAGCAGTCTTCAGGGACTTGGAGTGATGAGGTGGAACATGGGTTGCCATTTTGAAAACATGTCTACTTAGAACAGTTCTGAAACTATTTGGCTACCGGCAAACATCATCTAATGTTTAATAGCTTTTGTCTCACCTGTCACATAAAAAAGTAATTATGGTAGTAGAGTTATAGTATCTGGGAACCATTACTATAGTTCAAATTAGTTGACCTATGTGGCTTTCAGTGTCCTCAACTGTCAAAAGTGAGAAACGAGTCAAGTGACCTATAAAGCTTCTTCCAGGGCTGAGATGCCTTATATCTTAAAAGAAAATTAAGATATTTCAAGGCAAGGCACATTTTCTCTTCTTTCACTCTCCCCTTTGCAAATTTTATCTTCATTTATGGCTTTAATTATTACTTTTATAAACATTTGACAGTTATGAGAATGTAAAGTTCTCCACTGAAAATGATATATGTGGTAACATCTTTCATTTAATACCATGCACTGCATGCATGGCTTAAAAAACTGTATCGTACTCTATAAAGATGTGCGACAATTAAATGTAAAGAAGTAACCATAAAATTAAAAAAAAAATCACTTTAATCTCAAAACCCTCTCCTCTCTCCCACTCCATGCAATATTTGGATAATATCCACAATAAAAATATTAATGATCTTTACTAACAGAATGAGCTTAACTGTACAGAAGAACAATCTTAATATATCAGGAGTCTCCTTAACAACAAACTTTCCTTCAATAACTCAAGTTGTTTTCTGAATATAGTACAAGCCTAAATAGCAAAGTTATCTTTGTACTCCATAATTTGGGTTTGACCCATTTCTGCAACCCTAATCTATGACTATTTTCTCCGTTTGTTCCTAAGCTTGAGTCATAATTACTCACTGTTTTTCAGACATATCCACATGCACTCTCAGACATACATCTCTCGGCTTGTGATAGTCCCTTGTACCGGAATGTCCTTCCTTCATTTTGACCTATCTTCTACCCTTTTCTTTCCCACACAGATCAACATGACCTCCTCTCTAGAACTCTTCTTGATCTATCTAAACAGATCCTTCATAAAATGCTAAACTCTTTAGCATCTCTTATATATTTTTGCTCCAGATTGCCTAGTGCATAAAAGACAGTCAATAATATTTATTAAAGATATTATTTGATTAAACTAATGAATAAATTTATACTGATTTTTATAAAATCTACTAGGCTGTAAACTCCTTGTGTTCTGACAATATCTATTGCAGTTACACTTTGCTTGATGACAGGGATACATTTTTAAAAATACAATCTTAGGCGATTTCATCATTGTGCAAATATTGTAAAGTGTGCTCACCCCAATCTAGCTGGTGTAGTCCACTGCTCACCCAGAGTATCCAGAATAGCCTATTGTCTTATGGGACTACTCTCACAATCACTGAAAAAAATGTTGTTATGTGGTACATGACTATTACACTCTTCATATTTTCTATAGAGTTTACACTGTGCCTTGTACAAAAAGACCTCAAAATACAGGTAAAATCATATTAGGCAAAGAACCAACTTAATCTCCATTCATATAAAGGGGATCATTATCAATATGCTATTTAATGATGTCATGAAGAATAATCTATAATCTAGCTAGTATATGCCCTTTAACTGTAATACACTTTAACTCAATTTTTAATGGAGCAATAAAACTTTTCTGTTTGAATATCAGGGAAATATTAGCCTCACAGGATTAGCTGAGTAATGTTCTCACCTCTTCTATTTCCTATAAGAGGAACTAATTGATATTAATTGTAATTAATTATTAAATTGTCATTAATTATTATTTAAATATTTGGTAGAAATTTACCAGTGGAGTCACATGGGCCTGGGATTTTCATTGTGGTTAGATTTTTAAATGACTAATTCTAGCTTTTTCCTTTGTTATAGG